GGAGAGATGGGGGACAACCTGAGAGAGATGGGGGAAGGACAACCTGAGGGAGAGATGGGGGAAGGGACAACCTGAGAGGGAGAGATGGGGAACCGAGGGAGAGAGATGGGGAAACTGAGGGAGAGAGATGGGGGAACTGAGGCAGATATGGGGAAACTGAGTGTGGGATGGGAGAAAAATGAGGGGAGGGATGGGGAAAGAAACAGTGGGGAGAGGTGATGAACATACACACAGCACCCCTGCCCTACACATATCACACCACACAAACACACACACATCACCCCCCCCACACATACATCACCCCACACACACACACACCACCCCACCCATCACCCCACACACAAACACATCACCCCACACACAAACACATCACCCCACACACAAACATATACACTGTACCCCTCAATGCAGTGTGTGTATTTAGCAGTCTGTGTGTGTGTACACTCAGCAGTCTGTCTGTGTGTGTGTGTACTCGGCAGTCTGTGTGTGTGTGTGTGTGTGTGTGTGTATTTAGCAGTCTGTGTGTGTGTGTGTGTGTATTTAGCAGACTGTGTACTCAGCAGTCTGTGTGTATTCAGCAGTCTGCTAAATACACATACAGAGAGACTGCCGAGCACACACACAAACTGCTTAATACACACACAGATGTTAATTAGTTCGGACAACTGTATGAGTTGTTTTTTCTAAACTTAAACCTCAATATTCAGGTTTAATTGCAGTTTTGGCACTTTGAGGGAAAAAAAATTGGCATGTATTACGGTTTGGGCACTCGGGCTCAAAAAGGTTCGCAATCACTGGTCTAGTCTATAGGCGCATCTAATAGATGTATATATATAAAAATTGGGGGGTATCGGGGTGACGATGGCATGTTCACCCATTTTCTATATATTTTTTTTAATTCTTTATTTTTGTGCAAAGATTAAACATCCATATGTGCACTGCCACAACAGCTGGTGCAGACAGATTACAAACATTTGGCAACATTGTAATGGCATCGAATAGAAAAATTAGCATTTTTTGGTATATAAGGGGAAACAGCCTGCAACTATTTGCTTTCGATTTGTAGCTGTAGTTCAGTGAATCCTATGGGGTGTTACAGTCAGCGCTAAGTTCACTGAAGTTAGGAAGGGTAAATTACCGGTGTAACAATAGGTGGTTATTACATCGTGAGTGCTGTTCTTTTGCAGGAGAAATTGCGTGTTTACATAGTGTCTAAAAAGTAGGGCTATGACTAGGTCTTAGGTGGGTATCTACCTGAGGAATGGGCCACGCCTTCAGTGCTGCCCAGGCCGCTGATGCTGTGACCGCTAGATGGGAGGTACTCGCGGTTCACAGATAGTATTTAAGGTCTGCTGTGGCCTAGCCTACTGGGGCATTTAATCTGGTAGTTCTCTGGTAGAGAGATGATAGAAAAATGTGATGCAGTAAAAATAAAGATTAATAAATAATATAAGAGGTAACGTAGAAGATTGTGTGTTGGATTGTTACGTACATGGGAGGTAATGGTCGAGTCGACCTTGGCTGACAAGCTTGCGTTTACAGCACCCAATATCCCCTGGGTCCTGGGGGGAAGTGGGGGAGTGCTCAGGCCCTACGTTATGGAGAATCGCTTTACACTGTTCGCCTATCAGTGGAGCTAAAGCAGTAGCATTGGGGAGGACGTCAATCAGGAACATAACAAACTTAACTAAGTAATACAAGAAGTGCTCTCCTTTAGAAGGTATATGGACAGTCTCAACCTGTGTCTGCTGCGGAACTGGGCACGAAGGGGACAATGTTTGTAACGTCCCACAAGCTTCCAGCACTGGGACGGGTGGTCTGCACAAGCCCTAGGCTTTGGTGACTGTGAGAGTTGGCCCCCATCTGTACCTGATGCCGGCTTCTTGGAGGGTCAGGATCACCCGACGGACTGAGCGCCTCCAGTCCAGTGTGGCTTTGCATAGATCCTGAAGGACAGTGAACTGTATCTCTTCGAATTTGAAGGGGCTCTGCGTCTTGAGTGCTTCTACTACAGCCATCATGGCGCGGAATGATTGGAATCGAAGTAGGACATCGCGGGACGCTGCAGCTGGAGCACTTGTGGACTTAGGGAGCCTGTGTGAACCCTCTATAGGGGTATGTTTTGCTTGCCTGGGATGCAAGTTTGCCGAGAGTAGCCTTTGGAGGAAGTGGGGGAGCTCTGTCATCAATTGATTTAGCTATGCCCCTTATTTTTATATTATTTCGGAGCCGTGCATCATCTAGCATGTCCAGTCTGTCTTGCAGGGTCTTGTGAGAGGCCTGAAGTTTCTGGACATGTATGCTTGCATCAGTTTGGCATTGGATGACTGTGGATAGGTCCTCTTCTGTGACTATAACCCGGTCAGTTCCCGCCGTCATGTCTTCTTGCAGTATTGCCATATGGGCGTGAAACCAGGAGCGCACATTTTTCAGGAGGTTCACTATGTCACCTTTAGTGCTTGGGCTCCCAGGTCGCCCATGGGTACTGTCGAGAACAGATCCCTAGCCTCTGGTATGTTGTCTGGGGCATCTAGAGGTTCCTTCTCTGAGGATGAGCTGTGGAAGTCAGTTATAGCTGTCATCTTAGGGGTAGGCCGCGCCTGGAAGAGATCCCCAATCTTCCTGCTGCCGTCTCCCGGGTGGGTTTTTTGCTTGTTGATCTTCTTCCCCATGGTATCACACGGGTCGGGAGCACTTTTGAGTGTCGATATGCGCCGTGTTGTGGGTAAGGTTTGCCGTTTTTGACACTTCGTATACGGAGCACCGCTGACATGCAACATTTTCTATATTTAATTGAATCCTCCACCTATGTTCTGGGGGAACATTAGGTCCCCTCTTGGGTTATTATTACTAGAGACCTCACAGACTGCTCATGGGTGAGGGATAGGAGGACAGTAGGCCACTCTGGTTGGGAGGGTGGACTATTATTAATAAAGCCCTGGTGCACTGCTTATGGAAGAGGCATGGGGTGGACATTAGGTTCCCGCGGGTTATTATTATTAATAGAACCCCAGCCTGCCACTCATGGGGAAGGGAGAACATTATACATTTTATTCTAATGGAGCTTTGGGTGGGGGCACAGGTGGCAGGGCTTGCACTACCATAAGGTTGTACATGCGGCCACCTTAGGGCGCACCGGCTTGGGGAGTGCAATGTCTAGGTGACCAGCAGGATGGAAGCGCATAGTGCTTTCCTCCTGCCAGTCACTTAACGTAGCATAGACAAGCCCCAGCACCTCTGTTCAGCCCAGCTTCCAACTGCATGCCAGAGTGCATGCCAGAGGCTGTGTAGAGGAGGTGGATATATGAATCATGTCATATCATTGCTCCCTGTGTAGCTATTGCCTAGTGATGTGGCTGGGCTACAGGGAACTCCAAAGAGCTGGACAGTATGCTCCCAGGGACCTGATTGCACTGGGCTGAGATATAAATATATAATTGTGACTGCATGTATGACTGTGTATATATGTCTCTGTATGCCTTTGTCTGTATGTCTCTGTATCACTATATATCTTTGTATGTATGTCTCTTTATATTTGTATGTCTATGTATAAATGTGTGTGTTTGTATCTTTATGCCTGTGTCTGTATGTTTCTGTATGGCTGTGCATGCATGTGTCTGTATGACTGCATGCCTGTGTATGTATGTCTCTGTATGGCTGTGTCTGTATATCTATATTGTTTGTATGTCTCTGTATGACTGTGTCCACATGCTTCTGTATGCCTTGTTCTGTGTCACTGCATGACAGTGTCTGTGTGTCTCTGTATGACTATGTCCTGTGTGTGTAGATAATATGACTGTTTGTTTCCATGTCTGTGTTTGTTTGATTGTGTGTCTTTTATGACTGTGTCCCTCAATAACTGTCTATGTGTCTGTACAGGGAGTGCAGAATTATTAGGCAAATGAGTATTTTGACCACATCATCCTCTTTATGCATGTTGTCTTACTCCAAGCTGTATAGGCTCGAAAGCCTACTACCAATTAAGCATATTAGGTGATGTGCATCTCTGTAATGAGAAGGGGTGTGGTCTAATGACATCAACACCCTATATCAGGTGTGCATAATTATTAGGCAACTTCCTTTCCTTTGGCAAAATGGGTCAAAAGAAGGACTTGACAGGCTCAGAAAAGTCAAAAATAGTGAGATATCTTGCAGAGGGATGCAGCACTCTTAAAATTGCAAAGCTTCTGAAGCGTGATCATCGAACAATCAAGCGTTTCATTCAAAATAGTCAACAGGGTCGCAAGAAGCGTGTGGAAAAACCAAGGCGCAAAATAACTGCCCATGAACTGAGAAAAGTCAAGCGTGCAGCTGCCACGATGCCACTTGCCACCAGTTTGGCCATATTTCAGAGCTGCAACATCACTGGAGTGCCCAAAAGCACAAGGTGTGCAATACTCAGAGACATGGCCAAGGTAAGAAAGGCTGAAAGACGACCACCACTGAACAAGACACACAAGCTGAAACGTCAAGACTGGGCCAAGAAATATCTCAAGACTGATTTTTCTAAGGTTTTATGGACTGATGAAATGAGAGTGAGTCTTGATGGGCCAGATGGATTGGCCCGTGGCTGGATTGGTAAAGGGAAGAGAGCTCCAGTCCGACTCAGACGCCAGCAAGGTGGAGGTGGAGTACTGGTTTGGGCTGGTATCATCAAAGATGAGCTTGTGGGGCCTTTTCGGGTTGAGGATGGAGTCAAGCTCAACTCCCAGTCCTACTGCCAGTTCCTGGAAGACACCTTCTTCAAGCAGTGGTACAGGAAGAAGTCTGCATCCTTCAAGAAAAACATGATTTTCATGCAGGACAATGCTCCATCACACGCGTCCAAGTACTCCACAGCGTGGCTGGCAAGAAAGGGTATAAAAGAAGAAAATCTAATGACATGGCCTCCTTGTTCACCTGATCTGAACCCCATTGAGAACCTGTGGTCCATCATCAAATGTGAGATTTACAAGGAGGGAAAACAGTACACCTCTCTGAACAGTGTCTGGGAGGCTGTGGTTGCTGCTGCACGCAATGTTGATGGTGAACAGATCAAAACACTGACAGAATCCATGGATGGCAGGCTTTTGAGTGTCCTTGCAAAGAAAGGTGGCTATATTGGTCACTGATTTGTTTTTGTTTTGTTTTTGAATGTCAGAAATGTATATTTGTGAATGTTGAGATGTTATATTGGTTTCACTGGTAATAATAAATAATTGAAATGGGTATATATTTGTTTTTTGTTAAGTTGCCTAATAATTATGCACAGTAATAGTCACCTGCACACACAGATATCCCCCTAACATAGCTATAACTAAAAACAAACTAAAAACTACTTCCAAAAATATTCAGCTTTGATATTAATGAGTTTTTTGGGTTCATTGAGAACATGGTTGTTGTTCAATAATAAAATTAATCCTCAAAAATACAACTTGCCTAATAATTCTGCACTCCCTGTATGTTTGTGTCTTTGTGCATGTATGTATTGTTGCCTATATATCTTTCTATAAGGCTTGGGAAGAAAGAGTGACACAAAGAGACACGGGGGAGAAAGAGCCACAGAAAGGGGTTGGTGGAGAAAGAGGCACACAAAAGGGCTGGGGGAGAAATAGAGACACACAAAATGGCTAGAGGATGTAAGAGACACACAAGGGGAGCTGCAAGACACAAAGGGACAAAAGGGCTAAGACAATCAAAAGGGGGATTATGAGACACAGGTGCAGAGCAACGCATCACCTGTGTAGCAATAAATCTTTGCAATGGCCCTGACAGGTGGTAGACAGTGAATTGTACACCCCCCTTTATTTCATTTGAACTCTACAACTGATTAAGGGATATTGCATCAGACCTGAGGAAAAGGGGAAAACTCTTGAAAGTTTGTCTTTTAAATTTTGTTAGTGCAAATGACTATTTGCTACACCATTCCTTGGGTTTATATTAAAATATCTGGGCTAGGAAGGAGCCTCGGCACACAAGATGATTACTTCTAGCAGAGAAGAAGCAGATAAATCACGTGATTAATTTGCATGCAATTAAAAAAAGTCTAATGTAAACAAAAACAGTATGTTCCATTATTGTACTGAACACACACAATGTGTGTTTCACTGAGGTTTTGGGGGTTTGTTTGTTTTGTTTTGTGAAGTAATGTTATTAAAATGATATGTTGATGGATTTGTAGCTTTTTTATTACAGCATCCAACTCTTTAAAGAGAATTGGCTGCGACCAAATATATTGCTTTGCACATTTTATTTAAATGTGATCATCCAGTTCTGATGCACCCTCAACAAACTAGTTTTAAACCTCCAACCCCTCATTGAATGTAAACAGGAAATTCCTAAATTTTGGACCACTTGAGGCGCATGAGGATTGATCTCTGATCCACCAACAAAAATATATGTTAAAAATGCAAATCTGAGCAAATATTTCACAATTTGTAAAACTGTTTACGGCTGACTTAATTATGGGGCTTGATTTCTTTTTAATTATTGCAAGAGAATTCTAGAATAAGGCAATGATTATGAACACAGAAACAAATATACTCCCATGCACACACCGACAGGTAAAATTGCTGCATCTCAATGGTAAAGTACAACATTCCCCGGGCAAATCTGAGCCTGGCCATGCTTTCTTTGTTAATGATTTCCTGGATTACATCATATTTCTGTGAATTCTAAAGTTACATGATTATAAACTCACAATAATCACGACCCAGCTTGTGTTGGTTGTAGAATCATTTAAAGGTCATCGTAGAACACAAGAAGAAAGAACGATGGTAGTGAGTGGACTAAGAGATAGACTAAGGTACGGGCAGTAGTGGAAATATACACAGTGACCAGATGCACGGACTATACTAAGTGTAACTGTTACTAGTTTCTTGCATGGCAAAATAGCTCATCATAAGTTAGCTATTGGTCTTTCTGTTTATATTTTTTAAGACAGGTGCAAAAAGTTAAAAAAGAAAGAAAGAAAGAAAGAAAGAAAGGAAGAAGATCACACATTAGTAAACAAAAAAGAAAAGCAATGCACCAATGAAAATCAGATGATCTACATTTTGGTGTCAACAATCGTCTTGCGGAATTATATCAAATCAAGGACTGTAATTAAGACTTTTAGGTAAAGTTTGCCCGAGATGTTCTTGTGAGTATCATTCCGTGTGATCAGATTAAAATCCTATCTCACTTGTTAAATGACCCTTAATAATACCGTAAAGTACTGAGGAATAAATTGGCAATAATAGTAATAAAAATAACAATAATATCATTGTTTGAATACTAGTTTTAATTAGAATACTATAAGAAGCCACCTGGAGAGGATTTTCTTTGTTTACCCTTCTTTAAGTGATGATGTTTGTGACCAACCCATTTAAAAAATAGTTTTTAATTAGCATGAAGAAGGG